ATAATAGGAAGAATTTATTTCCTACATTTTCTTGTAGTTCAGCAAGAGGGGCAGATCCAAAGTAGAGATTTTTGAACAATTTATGTGCTTTTTTACCTAAGCCAGAATTTTTCAGCCTTGGGTAATAAATATCTTTTAAAAGGAAAAATGCTGAGCTTTAAATTTATTTAATGATATTTTGCAACTTTGCAAACTTAAAGCATAGATACAGTGTGTTTGTAAGAGCTTTCAATTTTAAAACAAATATATAAAGCATATTATAAATCCTGTTGAATACTTAACAAGGTCACATTTAAGTATAAGTTTTCTTTTGCTTATACTAAATCACTTGCTTTGATAGGATATATGTACTGTCTTTATGGGTAGACATTCTTTTGATACATGCTTTCTGATGGCCCTATATCACCTACTAATCTCTATTCATGATCTACTGTAGAACTTGTGGTAGTACTTTAATCTTTTTTAACTAATCTTTTCAGCATCAGTTAGGATAATACTATTTGGAACAAATACACTTTTAAATATAAGCTCATTTCAAGGATTAAAGTGTTCTAGCAGTATCTGGTTATAGTTACCTAGATGATTTGAAACATGCTTCTGTTAATTAAATAACATACATAATTGAACAAAACCATAACAGTAGTATTTCTTAGAATTTAATGGGTTCCTTTTTTTTTTTCCTTCTTTTCTAAGAAAGGAATTTATGTATCTCTAAGTCCTACTTTGACAAGTGCTAATGTAATTAGAGCCAAAAGTCTTTGATTGTTGATCTGGACAGAATCAGTGATTTTCCCCAAATCACAGAGCTGTTAGTGGCAAGTGCAAGATTCATACCCAGAATAATTTAAGATAGGACTTTTTTCACTGTGCTTCAAATTTAAATTGTTTTGATCATAAACTTATTAGTTAGAAAGTAGTTATCTTTTCCTTTAAGTGGAGGATAGTAAACAAAATAGGACGAAAATTTTTATTTGCTTTTGTTTAATAGAAATTTTCTAGTTATTTCTGTGTGGATGTGTAGATAAGTGAAATGAAATCTTTTTGCTCTGTTAAGACCCCTGGGCATACCCCTTCCTTACGATGGGATGAGACACCAGGTCGTGCAAAGGGAAGCGAGACTCCTGGAGCAACTCCAGGCTCAAAAATATGGGATCCTACACCAAGCCACACACCAGCAGGAGCTGCTACTCCGGGACGAGGCGATACACCTGGTCATGCTACACCAGGCCATGGAGGTGCAACATCCAGTGCTCGTAAAAACAGATGGGATGAGACCCCCAAAACTGAAAGAGGTACTTTTAGTAGGGTATGGGTGCGTGTTTGGGTTAAATGTTTTCTTATATGAGTAGTATGTTTACAGATTGCAAACTGTTCTCTTTAGTCCTGTGTGGACATAAATAAAGAACTGGCTGCTTTGAGGACAGATAAATAATTGAGCAGATGTATGCCTAATTCCTTTCCCTCCTTGAAAAAGTTTAAGATTTATTTAAAGAAGAGTCTTAAGAGGAGGTAAAGTTTGTAGGCCCCCAACTCTTTGTTTTTTATTGTGGCAAGATATACCTAACATCAGATTTACCATTTTAACAATTTTTAAGGGTATAATTCAATTCAGTGGCTTGAAGTATGTTTGCATTGTTGTACAACCATTGCTACTATTCATTTCTAGGATTTTTTTTATCGTCCCAGATAGAAACTCTGGCCCTATTAAACATTAACTTCACGTTTCATTCTCCTCCCATGCCCTGTAACCTCTCTTCTGCTTTCTATTCTATGACTTTGTATCTTATTCAGATCTAAAGCTGTATTTCATTAAATATATATGAGGCTAGTTGTGACAAATTAAGATTTAATAGTACATCTGCTATATTAAAATTCTGTAAAGAATTTTTAATGATATGATGGAGTGTTTAACATGTTATGGATGAAAGAAGCAGTATAGAATTGTACATGGCAGAGTAATCTCAACTGTATGGAGAACTGGAGGAAGTGATAAAGATACATACAGATGGAAATCTGCATAGTGATTTATGGGTAGTTACAAATTTGCTTTGCTCAGTTTTTCTATTTTTATAACCAGTGGGAAAGAAACATTTGTGAAAGGAGCATGTAAGTATGAAATGGACCTTCAAATAAACCTTAAATAGGTATCCATTTTAGGAATGTCCTATTTTGGAACTTGATTGTTTTGTGTCAGCTGTTTGAGAATAAACATTATTATTTTAACAGTGGTTAAAATTGTGGTCCTACTTGCTTTTTCTCTGTAAAGATACTCCTGGGCATGGAAGTGGATGGGCTGAGACTCCTCGAACAGATAGAGGTGGTGATTCGATTGGTGAAACGCCGACTCCTGGAGCCAGTA